ATTTCATATAAACAGTTATTAAGTTCTTTGAGCTAGCTTTCAGAAACTGTGACCATTCTTGTATATGATATAATGATATTTTTTGTTATTTTGTTGTTACTTGTTTTTGTTATCAATGAATAACAAGAAAGAAAAGAAGCTAGCGTTATCCTTTTAATTTACGTTCCGCTACGTAGATGATATATTTTCAATGAATATTTCAGTTTTCAAGCCTTTTTTTCTCGAATCCATTCTATTAAATTTGAAATAAAAGATATCATAGATACACTTATGTGTGCTACATAGCTTGATATTACCATAGCAATTGACAGTGATGGTCTTTTAAAAAAATAGAACTATTCGATATTACTTTCCATTGCGACCTTTCGATTTTTGTTTAGCAGTATTTCATCATCACCCAAAATTTAGAGTATATATCTCCCTGTTGATGTATTATTCTAGGTCTCGTGGTTCCTATCAGAATTTCCTTGATCGAGGATCAGGACTTCAAGAGGTCATCCCTTCGAATGTATTACGAACACCTTTATTACGTGATTTTTGGTGGGTTTGTGATTATAAATAAATCATTTCCGTGTTGACATAATGGTTGACTGATACGGAATATCAGGGCAGTAAAAGGATATCAATGCCACAATCCCGTCCTCCTTTCCTCGTTTATGACCTACCAATGAAATCGACTAATTACCGGATGTTTACTTGTAGTGAGCAAAATGGCGAGTATTACTTGTAGGACCCTTCCGTACCTCATTGGATTACCCTTGATTTTGGTGATTGAATGTTTTTCTTTTTGGTTTGAAGTACAATCATATTTATAAACTGAAAATGTAAAATCAAATGTATAATCTAAACAGTATAGAAGTAAAGACTACTGGGTGGATTGTAATTTAAAGGACTGACAGCTAAGTCCACCACCATCGATAACGACATAGAAATACATTTTGATTCATGTATTTGTTGATGAGAAGGTTGATAAAATATTTAGATTCTGGAGTTAAGCATAACGTTGTATACGAGTGGTTATTCTTTTTCTGCTAACATTCCATATATGATTACTTATTGGTCTGAAAGGGCCCAAATTATTCCAAATAGTCTTTTTTGCAACTTTGTCAGACTTATTGCAGAAACAATAAAAAATGGAAATGTAGTGTATATAAAAATAAGGAGATGTAGTATGACTGCCAATGAGACAACAATCCACCAAAGTTCAAATGAAGTGGATATAAGCAATTATAGGTAACCGTACGGCCGTTAACAATATGAAAAATCCATACCGCATAGTCGGCTATAAAAGGCCCCGACATGAAAAATATGAAACAGTTCAATTGAGAAAATTAACGGCCTAATTTATAACAAAACAATATACGAAAAAACAAATATGAGAGACATGAACCAACGACAACCACTGAGCTACAGGCTCCTGACTTGGGACAGTCACATAAAGAATGGGACGGGGTTAACATTTTTGTGAGCACCTTAACCCTCCCCTAACCTGGGACAGTGCTGTTACAGCACAACATAAGATTTAGTTTATGGTATCGCGTTCTAATGACTGCATTTTTCAAAAAAATAAAAATGCCGATCTCTTTATTTAGTAAACCTATATGTTTGATATTTTATTATGTAATACTTTACACAGAACCTGTTTACTTTTGAGGGTAGCTGAGATATAGATGTATAGGTACCTGGATATACACCTTACGGCAGAAAGACATGTCTTGATGGAAATTTAATTGTATATTGATACAATCTTTCCCTGTCAAGAAGCCCGAGGTTGTGAATGCTTTATCATCTCTTAATCACAAATATATTGTTGTTCCAGCAGTCAAAGCTTCTAACAATATTGGTTAATATGCAAAGTCTTTATTTGGATTATATAACAAAAGATCCTGGGAGTTCAAACAAATCTTGGGAACCCACTTAAACAAATACCTCATGCACGACAGAGAAGATTTTTGAAAATTATAAGTCTTTCTCTGCTTTAGAATAAACATCAAAAACAAAAGTATGTAATTCTCCCATCTGTTAATTGATACCAAATGCGATACATAGCCGGCTCTTCTAGATGTTCGACTAAAAATCTTTCTGAAATTCTCATGACAATTCTTTCTACAGTGAAAGATGGAAATTTAAGAATATTGTGATGAGGTATTCTCAACCAGCGGTGTCAATCAGGTGTTGATTTTCTGAGGATCTACTCCAAAATCACAATTTATATCATTACAATTTTGCAATGATATCAACACTTTCATTTTTTTTGTTTTACTTGGTGAAGAAGCATACGGATTACAATACTAAATATATCGAGGACAATATCATTAAAATGCTGCACTTTTAAATCGACACCATATTTGTTGATCATGAGTTATGGATTGATATTTCAACACGCAGTCGGTTTTTCAATATATATTCATTGTGCACCCCTACTGACCGACTTGTTCTTGTATTCAAATGAAAGGGAATTATTTTTTAAAAAGCTTTACAAAGACAAAAAGAAAAGATTTTGCCAAATTTTCTTATTTGACATTCAGATCTATTGATGATATCCTGTCACTCAGTTACTCACGTTCAAGTTATTGCTTGCATCTCATATGTCCCTTAAATAAGGATAATACAGAAACTAATAGGTCTGCGTCATATCTGAATCTTTTTCTGGATATTGACACAGACTAGCGACTTCAAACTAGGATCTATCTAACGAGTTCAGCTTTCCCATTTCTCAGCAGTAACATACCATCGACAGTACACTAGTTTTATGGTCATCATCACGAATTAATTGATCAATACGATGTGTCTGTATCAACTCACAAGAGACAAGTTTTCCCATTTTCTAGATACGAGAAAAGTCGTCTGGTCTGTTTAATTTACCGATTGGGTCCTATCCTTATTGTAACATTTTGACTGAGTATAGATTCGCTTTGCCTTTCCAAAAGAAGTTTGAAAGTCTTGGCCTAATCGAGAAACAGTTATTTTGCAATGTGTTACGCTTCCCTATATAGACCCTGTATGTGCATCATGTCACGTTCTGTTTGGAGTTCATACGATTCCCTAATTTGTTATAAATCTTGATTTGTATTTGTAAATGGTCTAATCAGATTTGAACATAGATAAAATACTGTTACTTTTTCCTGTTTCTACAAAAATGTAGTACCATAAATCCTTTTTCTGACATTTAAGATAGAACTCATTGTATGGTGCATTTTCTAGCATATTGTGAATATCTAGTTTTATACATTTATCCATAGATATAGGAAGATGTGGTACGAGTGCCAATGAGACAACTCTCCATCCAAGTTACAATTTATAAAAGTAAACCATTATAGGTCAAGGTATGGCCTATAATATCTATGTCCGTCAAAGAACACTAATTTGGCGATGTCACACATATTCGTAAGATTTTGAATACATTTTGAATGTAACTGAAAATTAAACAAATAATTAATGTTGTTGTTTTATTTTTATAAATATGATTGAACAAAAATCTTAGAATACATTAACATTTGTAAAGAATGAACATAAAATCGGCGAAAACAACCGCAAAATTATCTTGAAATATCATACTCTTTAAAAAAAAATCGTAGAATTATCTTAAACCTCGAGACGCTTTTGTTTGATAACTCACGTTAAAGATGTAAAATAGCTATTGGGTCACCTGCTTCGTTTTTATATGAATATGAATCAGAAGTGGAGTTTTCAAAGTAAAAATACCACAAAAATGTAAATAAGCGTAGCACTTTGTATATATAGATGTACAACGACCAGAGTTATAGAATGGTTAATACATTTGGTGACCATATAATTACTTCGTATGAGTTAAAGAATGGTCAATACAGTTAGTGACCCTATGATTACTTCGTATGAGTTATAGAATGGTTAATACATTTGGTGACCGTATAATTACTTCGTATGAGTTATAGAATGGTTAATACATTTGGTGACCGTATGATTACTTCGTATGAGTTATAGAATGGTTAATACATTTGGTGACCGTATAATTACTTCGTATGAGTTATAGAATGGTTAATACATTTGGTGACCGTATGATTACTTCGTATGAGTTATAGAATGGTTAATACATTTGGTGACCGTATGATTACTTCGTATGAGTTATAGAATGGTTAATACATTTGGTGACCATATAATTACTTCGTATGAATTAAACATGGACTAAACTAGCATAGTCTTATTATTGAGGCAAAGTATGAGGATTGTTTTAATAAATATACTGAGAACGATTCCAGGAACTTTTTTGTATCGATTATGTGTATATTCATAGTAACTATACATCTAGGTTTTTTTTATTTAATAATTTTGCAGGAAATAAGAGAGCTAAATGCATTATTACTAAGATGTTTACTTCAAATTTAACGTGTCAAAAAATCTGTGTGCAAAATCTTGTAAAAATCACTGCTAGACATAAATCATTTATAGAACTTGATATTTTTATAGTTTGCATGTATACTGGTGAGTGGTCTTTTTTTTTTATCGTTTAACAATATTATTTGTCCTTTTAAAATATGAACACCAAGATGTCATTTCTTTGCATTTATCATATTTTTCCTTCCATAAGTGCAAAAATTGCTGAACAACTCTCCCCGTCACCACTCTAAATTTATGAAATCTACCATTTTGCATAAACCATTTTATTTTGATGTAAATTAAATACACACAAGCAGGCTAACTTGTCAATATACTAACATTATAAAAAAAAACTATTCATTTTCATTAACAAAGTGTTATTGTAGTATTAAGTTGAATATATTACACGCTTTATTTTTTTTTTAATTCGAAGAAATAGGTTGGTACTTCAGTATAGTAATGCAGTCTATTCAAACTGCCTTGTGTAACCAATAGTGTTTTTGCTATTGAAAGAGAATTAAGAAGATTAAAAAATGCTTACTTCTTACAAAAATGTAAGACGAATTTGCTAATTCTATGAGACAGGCGCATAATCTGTTTTTAATCATCGAATATAATTTACATTAAGAAAATGTCAGCTCGAGAACTGGTGAAGTGTATCCCTGAAGGAAAAATTACACGGATTTATTTGTATTATCTGCTATTAAGCAACAGCGTTTGCGTTAAGATGAATAGTACAAAATTATATCATGTTTAATGGAAAATACAGTTACAACTTACACAGAAACATAACAAAGAAAAACCAAATTATTAAATAATACTATAGATCACATTCAATTTATCAAATGAAAACTTAATTTTAATATCTATTTAAAGGGACATTAGCTTCGATATACATGATATAGACGAAAAAAAATAAAAATATGATTTTTTTTCCCCCAAACATTAATAAAAGCGGAATATTGAAATAATAATTCTCTATTAACAGTCAGTTTGGTTCAATTTGGTCAATATAAGCTAAAAACATCGATGATGTATAATGGGCTTGCAAGTCAATAATTCAACCTCATTTAGATTCGTTTTCATGCGACCTTCAATTTAACCCTAAGCTAGAGATGAGTTACACAACGCATGTGCTAAGCATATGAAAAGAACGGCAACATTGAAAAGCGAACAAAGGATCCAACAGGAAGAATCATTTATTTGACTGCTTCTACCCACAAAAAAGCCTTCTTATTCAGATAAAGCAAAGACTTAAATAGTTTTTAATCTATGACTTGAAATCAAACAGACCTAAACATTATATATGATTGCTTGTGCTAGTATATCTATTCATACTAATGTTTATATTTGGTGATAAGACCATATGCAGTCTTCGGAAGGACATCTCGGGGTTTAATTAGATTGCTTCTAGTCTAAAATATAAACGAAAAGCTGATACATGATAACGAGTCCATGCATTGTTAATTGATCTTTTTGACTTTTTGTGAATTGGATATACGTTTCAGTATTGTTTAAATCAAATATGAGAGTTTAAGTCAAATTGGTGAACATGAATTTTACAGATAATGCCCCCTTAAAACAGATATATTCTAAACCAATGTTTGATTTTTTTATTCCCCCTGACTAGTTAAAGCTGTATGCTCCATTCCACCATCTGTCTGTGATATATATACTCTAATACTCTACCGCATAGTGATACATTTAATATATTCGCTCGTTCAAAGAGACATCCTACCCCACCTCATAAATACATTTGATATATTCGCCTTTGTTACATTGCATGTCTTTCTTCCGTTTTAACCCTTTTTGACGAAGCTAAGATACAGTTTTTACTTCAATGTTGTCAAGGATGTTTGCTCCGTCCCAACATTATTTGGTGAGATATAATGCGTCGCTGAGGTAAAAGTGAAGCCCTGTTTTCCTTTTTCTGGTGGTCCACAACAGCATATACATGCCATCTTGAATTCCTTCCTGAACTTAGCTGTAATGAACGAAAAAACATATTTTGGTTATGGTTCTCCGTGCTCTTCAACTTCATACTTGCTTTGGTCTTAAAACTATTTTGATTAGAGCGTCACTGATGAGTCTTGTGTAGACGAAACGGGCGTCTGGCATACAAATTGATAAGCCTGGTATCTTTAATGAGTTTTCTTGAAACATTACGTATTTACAAATTATCAGTATCTTCATCAACCTTCCCAGTTGTTTGATTTAAATTTGTATATTTTCGTGATTTGGTTTGCAATTCGATTTGAGGACCGTTCTAGAAAATTTAGAAACAGTGTCATTTGGATTTATTTCACAAACATCAATGATTACAATAAACAAACAGTCACTATCAACTGTCGTTACTCAACAGTAAAAAGCAAAACTGTCCCTGTAAGGGCGTCCGTTTGGCTGTGCAGGATATATAAATACGCAGCCACATGCGGTCGGAATTGGGACGTTAAAATAATGCCTCTTGTATGGAAGGTGTCACGCTATCTTTCACGTTGAAAATCCCTTGCAACAACTCTTAGAAGGGCCCGAAGGTGACTTGATGCATTAAAAATATATGCCCCTATTAATAATGCCCTTATTTTCGCGTGACAGTCCATATTTCCCGACCTTCATCCCGGCTGACTAACTTAATAGAGCCTACGCTATAAGATGCATTGTTAATTTGATCATGTCTGAAAATGCATGAAGTGTTCTATTGGATCTTAAGATAAGAATGCCATAAAATGTGATGTATAATCACGATTTTTTTACATGAAGAAACTGTTAAAAGTCACAAAAGAAGTATTGATGCTGGGATGGCCAACTTTCAAAATTGTATTGCCAGATTGTATGCGTTATCTATATTGTTGCTTGCTTGTATTGCAGTCATGTTAGGGTTTAAATACCGAAACACTTGTAATTTCGATGGATAGAAAGGTGCGCATCAGAATTGTATCAGATGCCTTTAATGGAATTTGAAAATAAATCTATGTAGAGTTTCAAACTGTCAAGATACTTAAAATGATTTACATTAATGCAACTTCGCTGTTAAATGCAAACTCTCCTGGCTGTTAAAAATCCCAGAATTAAATCTTTATTTATAGTTTTGCTAAATATGTTTAATATGACAATTTATATGTTACTTGCATTTGATTGTAGATGAATATATCAAGATAATATTTAAATAGCGTATCATTATAAAAATCACAGGATGTGGTATGATTGCCAATGAGACAACTCTCCATCAAAGACTATAAATGACGTTTACTCACCACTCATGAAGTTATAGATGATTGGGTTACTTGAACTGTTTAAATAAGGCAGCCAATGAGCAACATAGCTATATGCACGTATTCCATCAACAGCTATATATTTCAATACCCCAGCGTATCTGCCAATAAATAAACAAATATAAAGTTTACACCAGAAAACAATACGTAGGAATATATGTATCAAAATGCAGCGTTATCACGTTTAAATAAACAAAACTATCGTGCCTTTTTTTCTGGGAAGGGGAGGTTCAAATCTGAAAAAAAATCACCTTTTTGAGCAATCAATGCTACCGTGGGTTTTCAAATGGTTCTATCCACAGTAGGAATGGGGACCCAGCATTTCCCCAAATTTTATTCATGATAATTGAAGTACAGATTTTTGTTTCTTTAATGAATTCATATTCTAGTAGAATTGCATATCGAATATATATTGAATGAATATATATATTAAGAGCGGGTGTTTATGTTCAGAGAGGAATAATAGCCTTTATAGATTGAATTATATCCCCTTCCGTTTGAACATGCTTTCATGGAAAAATTTAGACAAATTCACTTTAATTGTTAGATTTAAGAATCCGGAACAAATAAATATGAATAAAATAAACTTTATTACAGTTTCCGGTTAAATCGAAGGGTTTATATAAATAAGAAGATGTGGTATGAGTGCCAATGAGACAACTCTCCATCCAAGTCACAATGTATAAAAAGTTAACAATTATATGTGAAAGTACGGCCTTCAACATGGAGCAATGGCTCACACCGAACAGCAAGCTATAAAGGGCCCCAAAATGACTAGTGTAAAACAATTCAAACAGGAAAACCAACGGTCTAATCTATATAAAAAAACGAGAAATGAGAAACACGTATGAACCACACCACCAAACGACAACCACTGAACAATTGGCTCCTGACTTAGGACAGGTGCATAACAATGCAGCGGGTTTAAACGTTTTAACAGGCGCCAACATTCACCCTAACCTGAGACAGTAGTGTAACATCACAACATAAAAAGACACACTATAAAATATTAATTGAAATGGCTTGACTCGATCAGAAAGACATTTAAACAAAAAGAAGTAAACATACGCTGAACGAATAAGTTTGATCTATTACACAACACAAATACAATATTAATAAAAAAGATGTAGAAACAGTGTCAAAAAGACAACTCCAACAGGGGACAAAATGGCGTTAAATAAAACAACGTACACAGGTAAATTTAAATATAATAATTTTGTTGTAAGTACGGAAAAATTAATAAATTTTATGTGCACAGTACGGGTACAGAAGTGAAAATGTCGTCATACTAAATACTTATCAAAGGTGGTACATATTAAAAATAGTGAGACGAGATATAACACAAAATAAGTAAACATTGAATTACAGAAATGCATTACAAATTGTGTCAACAGGTCAAATTAACACGAAAGTACGATTTGTACTCGCAGTTACTGAAAGCTAGTTAAAAGCCAAAAATAATAATAATAAAAAAATCATGCATCAGAGACTAAAATCAATTAAAACACATCCCAGGGATTTAGTGTTTTAACGCCATGGACAGTCAAAGAAGACATGATTTGTGCAAAGCCAAAATAAAAGTATCGACAGGCAGTAGGATCGTTAGGATTTAACCTTATAATAAATATGTATTACGTTATATATAGATAAAGCAATCTCTAAATAGAAAATAAACGTTGATGTGTATTTATACATCCCAAAAACCATTCGTAAAGGATACGAATTTAGTTATGTTTTAATTTGTTGATGAAAAAATCGATGTTAGTGCCAATGTAAACAATATTCAAAGATCTTATAACAACATTAAAAAGATAACCTTTACTAATAAGTTTGTTTAAAGGTTCGATGAGTTTAGTAAACACAGATCACATAGTGATTTCCGCGCTTTAAGTACAATATTACCGAAAATATTGGGATGTGAAATACCGTTTTTAATAAGTTTTCTACAGGTACAGCCAAATTTACTAATCAAATCTTTGTATCTATGAAAGAATTTAGTAAATGTTTTAAGCAATTTATGGTAACGAAATCCCTGACTTATTATTTTACCAGTGATGCATTGATTACGTTCGTTAAAATCTATGACATCACTACAAACACGGGCATAACGAACGAGTTGGGATATATAAGCAACGTATGATGGAGCAAAAGGAATATCGCCGTCTAAATAAGGAAAATAACAATAGGGAATGAAAAATCGTGTCTTTTGTCATAAATTTTAGTATGGAGTTTTCCATTAGGATATTTTATCTAAAACCTCTAAAGAATGTTTAACACTCCAAAAATAATTAATACGATTATTTTCATAAACTTTATAACAAAAGTTAATAACAAGTTCTTTGGTAATAGTAAGGGAGGTAGTTAGAAGCACTGACAGATTAGTAGTAGAACACTTACTGGATGCGGAGATGAAACGAAATTTAAATGGTTGTTTGTGTAATTTAGGTAACCAGTACATAGTCGGGACTTTCAAATTTTCGAAAGAGGCTTTAAGCTGGGTAGTGGCAGTGATATGCTTGTTTACAATTTGACTCTCTGTGGAGCGTACGGACCGGAATGTAGAAGAATTGATAATTTCGTTTTGGAGAACTTCCGTGTAGTATATGCGTCACACCACCACTACATTATTGGCTGCTTTGTCTGCCGGTACGAACACAAACACCTTGCGAGTTTATTTTTTATTCTAGAAATGGGTATATCATGAACCCTTTTATCAATTTAAGAATTGTTTTCAAAATGAGATATAAAATATCATAGTATTCATAATTGTATTCAAATAACTGTCGAGATTTTTTATCAGTTTTACACGTTTACACCAAATTTAACAGTAGGCAGACAGAGCGTCTTTAATGACCTGACGACACTGTTTCCAATCTATAATAGATGGAGGACGATATTTAGGTCCTTTATTACGAAAAGTTTTGACCTCACGGTCTTCAACGATGTGGAGGTCCGCTGTAATGACATGATCATAGGGAACATATCTAAAACTATATGTTTCACAGTCTCAAGTAGAAGGAGCATTATTTTCTATATTGACGTCTGATGTTAATGACGTATAATGAAAAATCAAACTTCTGCTGGGTTTTTTGTACGAATACGAAATAATCGGTGGTTCTGTATTATCAAAATATGGAGGTATTTGGCTATGGATGGTAGAGTCATTGAATATACTAGATAAGTTAATAAAATCAATACCTCTATTTCTATATTATATAAAGAAAATGCCGTTTATGATTTTCAGGTTTATCGATACTAGGAAACAGCCTGTGATGACAAAAGGCTGAAATAATACGGGTGTATTTATACTACGGGCTGAAAAATGAAATTTATCACACTCCAGAAAAATATCATATACAGTTAACTCTCGTTGTCTCGAACTCGGTTGACTCGAAATTTCAGATTGTTAGAAGTTTTCCAGTGATCCCGAACTTTGTTTCATATAAATGTATGTATTTCAACTCCTGATGAGTCGAAATTGGATGAGTCGAAATTTCGGTTGACTCGAACTAAATTTACCGCCCCAAGGTTAACGTGTAGTTTACTTATTGGTATATGATCAAGTTTTCATAATAATTGATGTCTACCATTATTTTTTATTATAGATAACAGATCAGCAAGTGTATACTTTATACGATGTTTAATACGTAGATTACGGTTTTTACGTTTACCATGAGACCTATTATCTCTTAGCCGTTTATCGACAATATTCATGACATCGATAGATGTTTTAGATATGTTCCCCTGTCCCAATATTTTGTCATTGAGACCGAGAGGATAAGCTGTTTGAAGTCTTTTAAGCTGCATTCGGTTTTAAACTGGAAATTGGATTGAATATTGAACATTTACATTAAGCAACAATGAGTTGCGTTTGTTAAGAAAGAGATAAAAAAAAACCTTTTGGTGTAAAAAAAACAACAACCGGTCATACACCGTGTTTAAATAAAATGTTAATATATTATTTTGCAATATTTCATTTTCTGCTCTTCTGAGGAAGAGCTTTGTGTTGAGGGAGAAATATATTTTCAGATGTGAATTTTCAGCAGCAGTCGACGTTTAACTTTTTTTCGTGCAAAATTATAATATTTTTTTTTTAAGAAAATAATTCTTTGTCAATTTGTTGCGGCTAAGGCGTTTTTCTTGATTTATCTTTATCAGGAACGCTAATGCCAAAAAAATGAAAGCCACAAATGTATTTCTACATGTACACGTGAAGGGCTATTATATAAAAAGGGTTCTAAAAGAATAACCAAAAACGATAAATGAAATTAATGGGAAAGTGTTTAAACATTGAAATATATTGTAAGAGTGGGCATCAATTGAGACAGTTTGTTTTGTCAAGTTGTAACGTCCAAAGCGTTTTTCTTGATTTATCTTCATAAGGAACGCTTATGCCAAAAAATTGAAAGCCACAAATGTATTTCTACCTGTACACGTGAAGGGCTATTATATAAAACTAGAGGCTCTAAAGAACCTGTGTCGCTCACCTTGGTCTATGTGCATATTCAACAAAGGACACTCTCCAACATTGTAGATGAGAATAGAAATCATGAAGAAAATCTGTTTTGTCGATCTTGTATTGTTGATCATTTAGTCTGTTTAGTTTCTCTTTATCTTCTTTAGTTTTTGCTCAAAACACAAAAGAGGGTAACAGAATCCTAATTTAAGGGGCTGGGCAATCACTCCTATAACGAGTGACAGCCTACTACCTATATCAGCGAAATGTACCAGTACAAATACAGAACAATGACGACATGATAGAATTATATAAAGCACATTTTTGACATATTCCCCATTTCCATTCTCAATTTTATTTTGCCATTGTATATAAACTTAAAAAGTAAATGACCACATAAAAATCAGCTAAAAAACCAAAATGCAAGAAATGATAAAAACTGACTCTGAATTAGTACATGAAATTGATGTAAAAACCCAAAAACAGAAGTTGATCAGGAATACATTTATACTGCTGAGCAGTTTCTCCCCTCAAATTTTAAATAGCATCCCAGAAAACAGCAAAATCTTTAGATTATTAACTTACAATCCTACTTATGGTTCTATAGGCTTAGATGTAAATGAAAAACCTGATCAAAACAATATA